CCTCAACAAATGGGGCTGGTTTAGGAGGTTGCGAGTATTGGTCCCATCCTGCACTACTCGATCCACCGTAGTTGATTGAACCACCACCCTCCCCGTAACCTCCTGTATAACCACCGCCTTGGTAGTTGCTCGAACTACCACCCCATTCGTACCCTCCTGCAAAACCATCATCATAAGAATACTGGTGAGAATGAGATTCACCGAGCGCCTCGGTCTCAACATACACCTCTGCAAGCCGGACTTGGTTATCGCTTAGGAACTGTAACATCATCATAACCGCGTCATCATCGTTTATGACAACTTCTTGGAACACGACCCCGCCAGCACTCATGTCTGGATACCGGTAAGTAATTTTGCCAAGTCTCGTCTGTCCGCTCGTACAAACCCTTTCTGCACAAAGATCATAGAGTTCTTGAAAATTGAATCGAGATTCAATTTTCAGCATAATGGATTCGCCGTCCTCATAATCAATGCCTATGTCAGAGTTTGTCACCCTTCCATTCCACCGAATAGTAAGATGAAACTTCTTGAATTTACCCATATCTACAATTTACAATAAGTATCTATTAGCTTAAAGACAGTAAAATTAACCAAAATCATATTGTACAACTAATATTAAATCATACCATAAGTAACAAAAATAAATTCAACTAACTAACAACAACATAATACGAAAATTAAATCATACTATAACTAACGAACATAAGTTCAACTAACTAACAACAACATAATACGAAAATTAAATCATACCATAACTAACGAACATAAGTTCAACTAACTAACAACAACATAATGCGAAAATTAAATCATACCATAACTAACGAAAATAAATTCAACTAACTAACAACAACATAATACGAAAATTAAATCATACTATAACTAACGAATATAAGTTCAACTAACTAAAAATAACATAATACGAAAATTAAATCATACTATAACTAACGAATATAAGTTCAACTAACTAACAACAACATAATACGAAAATTAAATCATACTATAACTACTAAAAACATAATTAGACCATAATACGAAAAGTCTCAACATACCGAAAAATTTCTGTTCTGTGTATTATGCTCGATTTTGGCTGCTGAAATTTGAAGAAAGGGGAGTGGTTATGTTTTTACAACTGCTGGTGGTGTGGTATTTATAGGAAAATCTGCCTACTATTCACCGTTTTTGTCAAAAACGGTGAACACTATCACCGCGTTTGTCTCAAACGGTGAATAGGTGGTAGCTGCGACCTAATTTTGACCTACCAGGGGTGGGAAACGTGGGAAATGATCACCGCGTTAGTTAACAACGGTGAAGTATTCACCGTTTTGGTCAAAAACGGTGAAGCTTTCACCGTTGTTAATTAACGCGGTGAAAGCTTCACCGTTTTGGTGTGAAACGGTGAATACTTCACCGTTTTTGTTTAAAACGATGAAGTATTCACCGTGTTTGTCAAACGCGGTGATGATCTTCACCGTGTTTGTCTAAAACGGTGATGCTCAAACATGTGTACTTTGGGAATTTTTTTTATAACTCATGTATTTTGAGAATTTTTTTTAAGAACGTGTGTACTTTGGGATTTTTTCCTCATTCTATTGTGTTATAATAACCTGTGACCTCCTTTCTTTCTTAATCATTCTCCGTTTTCGCCTAACTATTTCTTAAAAGAGTAGCCCCTTCTTTTTCATTCATCAATGGTACCTCTTCTTCTTCATCTCCCCTCAACTTCGTATATCTCCTATAATCCGTCGTCAATTTCTTAATTTGGATTCGCTTAATTATCTCATTCACCGTCGATTTTCCTACTTCTCCTCATCGAATTCGCCTAAACACTTTTAATATCCGTATTTAATGAATTAAATTGTTAACTTTATTGTAATTTATATATGTACTTATTATATAAGTTTATATATTTATGGCTTTTAATGTACTATTAAATGTAATATTAGCTTAGAGATGAAGTAAAATAATCGTACGTATTTTATACGTAACTTTTCCATATCATATTTTTCTAACTATGCTTAAGTTAGCAACAATTAGTAGTTAGTATAATACAACAACAACTTTTAGGAGGGGTATATGTATATAAACAAAGGAGGGCATTTTTGTATTTTTACCAAATTCCACACCATCAATTCCCACAAAACTAAACCCTATCCAAACGTGGAATTTTGTTCAATTTCCACAATTCAATTCCTTGGTTTTGTAAAACATGGAAATTCAGATAAATTCCCACGTTTTCAAATTTCCACATCCAAACGACCCCTGACTCTACGGCTTGTGAAATTCAACTTGTCAGCTCTGGTCGAACGATTTATAAGGGAATCAATGTACTTCTTATATGCGAACTTGTTAATAATTCATAGGTTTATCAGATTATATATCTCACCACGTATGATATTTAAGACTTTGCGTATACAAACACACATGTTTTATTCACATATATTAATAAGAAAAATTATGCATGTTGTATTCACATATATTTAAAAGAAGAATTATGTATTATAGATTACTTAGATATTATTTACAATAAAATAACGTGACTTAGTTTAAATTTATGCACTAAATAATGTGATATCAACATATAATAAGTTGGGCCTGGGATCCACCTGACTCCTAAGAAAAATGATTAAATTAGTTATAATAGTTAATTGATATCAAAATTTAGGGTGCGTCTAATTGACAATAATTGATCGAAAGTTTGTGTGCTCCAATCTTGACAACTCATTTCTTAAGTACACAAATGAAACAAAATATTTTTAGTGAGAAACATTATTTATTTTGCAATCCCAATGACCAAACTTGCAATTTACCATTAGAGGAAACTGACAAAAACTTTTGGGAAGGAAAATGACATGGGATGTGCCCAAATTGCGGTCGACGACATCTGGGCCGTCCACCACTGGGCCGAACATGCGGGATCCACAGGGTCACATGGCCCGTCTTGAGTGACCTGCCAATCTGCCATCTGCCGTCCATCATCACCATCAATCATTTCATCATCAGCCCTTCATTTTTTTTTGTTTATTATGTGTTTTCTCTACATCGCTATTTCATGCATGCATTGGCAAATTGCAATCAACTACCTTAATGACTGGTTAAATATCAGTTCAGTCACCAAACTCGTATTCATATATGAAATATACGTATCGCTATATCAAGATACTAAGAGGTCGTTTGGAAGTTGAGATTTCATATGATATATTCAGCCAATACATGCAATCATGAGAATTAGCCTTTTTTTGTCTTAAATGAAGCAGAATACATGTATTTTGAGTATAATAAGGGATCACCGCTATAATTCATTATGATTTTCGATTTTAGCTTTTAGCCGACATTGTCAATCACTCATTTTGTTCTTTCTAATTTTTTTGATGGACTATAAAAGTCAATCAACCTCCAAATAGTATATTTTTCAAATTCATACATTAACACAATACATCTAATTACAATACATAAATTAATTAAATTCATCCATTAGATAATCCTAACTATCAAAATCCACCTTAATATAAATCATTACTAGACCATCAGTCAGTTTCTACCAATTAAGATGGCGATCTGGCTTAGCAATCTTTTGTCCTCCGACGTTTCAACAATTTACCAATGAAGTTTGGTGTAAATGATAGAGTTGACTTAGTAGGATGAGTTTGATGCTTTGTTTGCTTTCTTCAATATCGACATTAATAAGTGTCTAAACTTGACCATCATGTTAGTTAATCGTAGGGAAAATCACTATTTGGGGATAAATCTTTGCTTAACAACTACAATATCTCGAGTGTACGCTAATTCAATAGGGAAGATTATTTTCACAGAAAAATCAGATTAATCAAATCGGTAGTTGAGTTGGCTCTCAAATCACAATTTTGAGACATATCATGAATTCACAATAAGAGAGTTCACGAATGAAGCTCATCCAGCCACCTTGTCGAATTGGCTCCAGAGCCTTAGACCAACTTCAATGCTAGCCCCCAAATTTGGGAACCTTCATCTCCAAATTTGAGAATTATCCCAAATTTTATCATTTTTGCTCCAATGCTACCATCTCCAAGTTTGGGGACCTCCCTTTTCCTAGTTTTTTTACTTAAAAATATATTTATGATCATCTTAATCTAATTTGTTCGTGTTAATTTTTGTATCGTTCGTCATCATTTTTAAATAAAAAATTTCGCGATAGATTTTTATTTTAATTTCGAGACCAAATTTTTTTTGAAAAAAAATGATTGACCTATTTTTCCTTACACACAACACTTGAAAACGATAAAACTGAAGGCGATTACCTAAATTTTCATCATTAAAACCCTAATTAAATCACTAACTCTTAATTAAACCAAAAAAAACTTAAAAGGGTGGTGGCGGGCACAATCGCACAAGGGAGAGCGGTTGTGCCCGCCACCACTTCGCCCAATCGCAAAAAATACAGGGAATCGACATTCCCATCGCCAAAAATAGAAAACCAAATGGCGATAATCGCTATTAATAACGAGAATAGCATAATGCAGTCTGCGTTGGAGTCAACCTTACAAGTTAAACAAGGCTTATACCAAACTTGACTCATTAGTAAAGAATCAGATTTTTCTTAATCGAATGAAACTTTATCGAGTAGAATATCAAGTCGTTCATGAGCAATTTGGTAAATTACCATCCCTGCTTAAATGAAACCCTAGCTCTCGCGGGACGATGGGTAAAAGCGAGGAGTTAAAACTTAAAAACTACTCACTATTTCAACGACAAAAGGAATGACAAAATTTATGAACCCCATTCCCTAATTAATTAAACTCCCCAAAACAGACTTCTCCGTAATCAACCCCATTGACTGTTGTGTTCGCCAAAAAATATACCCAAAATTTCCCAACAGCACCGAAAACGAAACAGCAGCAAAATAAAAAAAAAAAAAAAAAAGAATGCTGTAATATTTGACCGCGTATCTACCTTCCTCCTTCCCCCTAAAGATTCTCTCTCTCCTCCCCTGTTTTTCCTCCTTTCTCACTCCCTCGAGTGGCGCAGTAGCCACTAAGCTCCAGTATCTTAGCTGGACGCCTCCTCTGCCTCTCTCAAAAACCCCAATCTCTCCCTTTTCCCCCTTTCCCTTTTCACTCAGCTCTCATCTGAGCTCCGAGAGGAAGAAACAGAGAGAGCAAAGACGGAGTCTTTTTCACGTTCTCACACAATGCCCATTCCTTCCTCCTTCGTCTTCGTCTTCCTATTCCTCTGCCTCCTCCACCGCCGCTCCACCGCTTTCCCCGTCCGCCGCATTCTCCACCAGCCCTTCTTCCCGCTCGACACCCTCCCACCCGCACCATCCCCTTCATCCCTCCCTCCACCACCGCCTCCCCCTTCGCCGCCGGCGAAACTCCCTTTCTCCAACACCGGAACCCCAACCGCCACAAATCCCGCCTCCCCATTCTTCCCGACCTACCCTTCCCCGCCTCCACCGCCGTCCCCCTCCACATTCGCTTCCTTCCCGGCCAACATCTCGTCACTGATCCTCCCTGAATCCCCTTCTTCAAAACCCCCTTCTTCCTCCCACAAACTACTCGCTCTCTCCCTCTCCTTCCTCGCCGCCGCTGTTATCGTCTCCGCCGTTCTCGCCTTCTACTTCTGCCGCCGCCGGAGGAGTGCCAACGAACCACCTCCCGGTCACGATGCCAAAACCCATGCCTCATCCGACCGCCACAGCAGCAGCCGGTTCTATGCCGTGAATCCGGATCGGGGCTCCGGATCCAGGCACAAGCTCCGCCCCACGAATACCAGCTCGGAGTTTCTGTATCTCGGGACGCTTGTGAATTCCCATGGAATTGGGGATGGTGGCGGGTCGAATCCTGCTGCTGCCGTTGATTCTCCGGTCGTGGGGAAGATGGATTCGCCGGAGCTCCGGCCGCTCCCGCCGCTGAATCGGCAGAATCCGGATGGTTTTGGGTCCCCTGAGGATGATGAAGAAGAGGAGTTTTATTCTCCCAGAGGGTCGTTGGGCGGCGGAGGGAGGGATAGTTCGGTCGGGGCCGGATCCGGGTCGAGTAGGATGTTTCGGGATATGGGTGGGCCGGGTCCGGATTTTGGAGAAGGGGGAACTACTGATTCGACTTCTTGTTCTTCCGATTCGTCGTCTGGATCTCCGGCGAGGTCTCAGTCGGTTAGCATTTCTCCTCCCGCGAGTTTGTCCCCCCGGAATAAGAGCAAGACGTCCCCTGAATCCGCTCGGGTCGTTTATCCGGGTCCGGGTCCTGCTCCTGCTCCGCCGTGCCCGCCGATGCCACCACGGCGGAATGAGAACGAGTTGTTGTCGTCTGTTTCGCCGTCGCCGTCGTTCTCTGCTTCGTCTTCGCCGAGGATTTCTTTCGATATCGAGCAAATGAAGCGAATCTCGCCGGATCGGAATCTGAGGTCGCCGTCCTTGTCTCCGGCCAGGATTCTGAATAAGAATCAGCAGGGGAAGCTTTCTTCTTTAGCTTCCCCTGTTTCTTCCACATCGGCTGCTTCTTCGCCCAAGCTCTGGAACGCTCTGAATCAAAATGTGCGGTCACTGTCGGTTTGTTCGTCTTCCGCTGCTTCTTCAACTGGGTCACCGGACAGAGTTTCGTCTTCGTCGGAGAAATCTCAATCTCCCCGTATGTCCAATGATTTGGATCCTAATAACGCCCAGCCATCGTCGTTGCTTTCCTCTGCTTGGACTTCCCCTGAAAGACGTCCACTTTCCTCTCCGTCCGCTATGCCCGTTAAAATGTCGCCGTCAATCTCCTTAGCTTCTTCATCGCCGGGTTTCGAGAAGAGCCCTAATCGGTCTCCGGCCGTTGCATTGAACGTCTCCGGGCTGAATGTTATGATGAGTTCTGTTCTTGGTCAGCAGCCAGTTTCAGCTTCCCCACCGCCGCCGCCCCCTCCTCCGCCACCACTACCGCCGAGGCAGATGGACTTTTCTCCGGTAGCATCGACACCAGCAGGCAAGTTTAATTCCACGTCGGCGGGTGCCCCACCGCTGCTTATACCGCCGTCCAGGCCGTTTGTGCTGCAAACGCCGCCGACGAAAGTATCTCCGATTCAACTGCCGCCGAATTCTGAAGCAGAGGATTACTTCGAAGAGGCTTCGAAGCTGAAGTTGAAGCCTCTACATTGGGATAAAGTTCGAGCTAGCTCCGATCGCGAAATGGTTTGGGATCAAATTCGGTCCAGCTCGTTCAAGTAAGATTCCATACTGAAATGTCAAACGAATTATGAATCCTTTCCCCATTTGGATTTCAAATCTGAATTTTCCATTCTAATCTGTTGCCTGTTGCAGATTGAATGAGGAGAAGATAGAGGAACTGTTTGTCGCAAATGCCCCCAGACCAAAGCCATCACCAGGAACTCCAACTCCATTCAATCTATTTGGAAATCAGGAAAATAGGGTTCTTGATCCTAAAAGGGCACAGAACATTGCAATCTTGCTGAGAGCTTTGAATGTCACCATAGAGGAAGTTTGTGAAGCTCTCTTAGAAGGTAATCACTTCAACATTTTGTATTAACATTCGGCAACTCATGGAAGATTGTTCCTCAGTCTTGTTGAGGGTTCAAATTTGATGAATCTCTTAGGATTATAGAGATGATTGCCTCTTCACCGCTTCTTTACTGAACTGTTCTCTGGCTATTGAGGTTCAGGCTGCTGAATTTGGCATTTGCAATTGCAGGTAATTCTGATACACTTGGAACTGAGCTGCTAGAGAGCTTAATGAAGATGGCGCCAAGTAAGGAAGAGGAGCGAAAGCTGAAAGAGTATAAAGATGATTCACCTGTGAAGCTTGGTCATGCGGAGAAATTCCTCAAGGCAGTCATCGATGTACCTTTTGCCTTCAAACGAGTCGATGCAATGCTGTACATGGCCAACTTTGATTCCGAGATTGAGTATCTCAGAAAGTCCTTTGAAACTCTCGAGGTAAATAAGCAAAAAGCTCGAAGCTTTGATCATAAAACCATCCTTGGATGGCTCATGGATGTTGTAGTTGACTTGAGTCTTTATTTGTTTTAATAACAGGCAGCATGTGAAGAGCTGAGGAGCAGCAGGATGTTCCTGAAGCTTCTGGAAGCCGTACTGAAGACAGGTAACCGCATGAATGTTGGGACAAACCGTGGCGATGCTCGTGCTTTCAAGCTTGACACGCTCCTCAAGTTGGCCGATGTCAAGGGCGCAGATGGCAAGACTACTTTGCTTCATTTCGTCGTACAGGAGATTATAAGAACTGAGGGAGCTCGTCTTTCCTTGGGGGGATCCACGAATGCCGCCACCTCATCATGTGAAGAGGTCAAGTGTAGGAAACTTGGGTTGGAAGTCGTGTCAAGTTTAAGCTCTGAGTTGAGCAATGTGAAAAAATCCGCTGCTATGGACTCAGATGTGCTCAGCAGTGAAGTCGCCAAGCTTTCTGTAGGCATCGAGAAGATAACCGAGGTAGTGCAGTTGAATGAAAGATTAGGGTTGAGTGGAAGTGGGAAGAAGTTCTCAGAGTCGATGAATAAGTTCTTGGAAATGTCCGAGGGGGAGATCATAAAGATTCAGGCGCAAGAGAGTGTTGCATTATCATTGGTTAAGGAGATTACCGAGTATTTCCATGGGAATTCAGCAAAGGAAGAAGCTCACCCTTTCAGGATCTTCATGGTTGTGAGGGACTTTATCTCTGTTCTCGATCGGGTTTGCAAGGAAGTTGGCATGATAAACGAACGCACGATTGTTAGCTCGTCGGTTTATAAGTTCCCTGTTCCGGTGAATCCCATGCTTGCTCAGGCGCAATGCAGTTCATTTTCCGATGAAGAAGGTGCATTGCCATAAGGAAGGATGATCTGCTGGGTTTTCTGTAACTCTTCTGCCCCCAGTTTCTGTACAAATCGGCAAAGAGAGATTTTTGTAATTTGCTGGCTTATTTGATCTGTGTAGATTAGTATATATAGAAAGATTATTTCTTTTAGCTGGAAATGGTCGTATGATGATGGGTAATGTATGATCCCGTGCAGACTTATGATTCGGGATTTGGTCTCTAGTTATAGAAACTGCAAGTTAAGAAACAATCAGAACTTTAATACTAATGTAGAATAAGAATATCAACTGTAATTTGTAACTACAACCCTTTTCTACTCCTTAATTTCCTCTGCTCGAAACTTAACGAGGTGTAGTAATCAAGCATGGCTTACATAAATCCATTCTCTTATTTACTGATCCTACTTCCTGCTTCAGGTGTCAGCTTCAACCACCAAACTTGTTTACTGGTTGCTCCACACTGAACTATATACTACTTGTGGTGCTAAACTTAGTACTTCATATGTGTCTTCGGTTAAGCTGATGCTAAACGCAAGGCCTCTGCATCTTTCCTCTCCAGAATGAGCCTTGCTTCTTCCTCGGTTGAAGGAACCACATTCCGGATCCTGTAACCATTCTTTGCAGCTTTCGCCTCTGGCCTTACTGTGAAGGTGAAGTAGAACGTATTCGTCACCTGTTCCAAAACCCACACAATTAACAAATGATATGATCCTCAGTCGTGAACTCGGCATCTGGCTCAAAGGTATCCTCTGGGAATTCTACTGTGCTTACCTCACTGGTTCTCAGCTCTGGTTTAGTGACATGAGCAACGACTTCGACGTTGATCAGAGGCTCATCTGGGTTCTCGAGTTCTGTGTATAGAACGCATGACTTGAGGCGCAAGAAATCCCCAACATCCACCTGATACAAAGAAACACAGCCGATAAACTCATAAGAATTTATGCAACATCACAATTTTAGGCAATGGTGAGCTATCAGACATAACAAAAGTTCAACCATTTACATGATGAAAACTTCGAATAAGTACTCACAGGTCTTAGGAAATCCACGTGATCGACTTCCAGAAAGCAAGGCACCAACCCTGCGAATGTATAAGCAGTGGAGAAAGCCAGCTCGAATGCCCGGTGCATGAGGAAGCCTCCAAAAATTCTTCCGTGCATATTCCTCTGCTGAGGTTGGCAGATGAGTGAATTCTGGAGACGGGTGTCTCCTAAAAGAATGCTGTCTCTGTCTGCTAACGCTGGCATGTCGCTGAAGATTCTCCCCTCGGCCAGCAATGCTTCGAGTCGATTCTTTTCTCCACTTTCAACTTCCTTTCTACCATCATCCTCCACTGTTTTTCTCTTCCTCAGCTTGCTCCTTGCTTCGGCTTCTTCAAAGAGCGACTTCTCTTGTTTTGTCTCCGGGATTAGTCGGTTGACTGATGCAGCCTTCCCGGTCACAGAGTCTCGAGCAACAAATATGAAGTTGGCTGTCAGTGCTGTGGAGTGTGAAGAATCCGAGTCGTCTGCGTTTTGCAGCTGATTAGGTACCGAACAACCTTATGGAAGTCATGATTACAAAAGGGGAAAACAATGGAGGATGCCAGTGTGTAAATCATTACGAATTTCAGATGCCTCGCTGAAACACCGACCCTCAATCTTTTAACATGGTTAACTGCCTAAATTGTAAACAAAACTGCAAGGATTTGTACTGTATGTACAGTAAAAGTCGTCATAAAAACTAACTTAAGTGATCTGTGAGGACAGAATCACTATGATGACTAGTCTGCTGTTGGTTCAGTTGAGACAGCTTTACCCAACTGAACCGAAAATAGACTAGGCAGAATCAGATGAAGTGAAGTGATTGTTTCTCTAGCAAATCACTTAGCTTAGTTATTGTTAGGACATCTTGTTTACTTACATTTTAACCTATCATAGCATCATGGAAACGTGATAGTTCATCGCACACCAACATTTGTTATATTCAAGTTTACCTTTAGGAGGCTGAATAACATCTAGTTGAATCTCGATCGAGGAACGCCCAACCCATATAGCAGAACCAACTATCTTGAGATCAACATCGACACTAATTGGCTTCTTCAGAACGATCCTATCAACGGAAGCTGTCACTAGCAGAAGCGGCCTTGTTGTGCTATCTTCATCAGAACAGTGCTAATAACAACAAATAAGCAACAAAGCAAACTGAATCAAAAAGGGAAAGACACTCTTCATTTGCATAAAGTCTACCCAAAACATTCGTAAACAGGATTCCACTTTCCCGCTGATCAACGTCATGAGGCTTCAACTCGAGAATCCCTAACACATTTCAAAGTACCCAAGCGAACCCATAGAAAGTTATAAGGAAGACAAAAACTTTCATTGCTTGTAAATGTCAAGCCCCATATTTTAGTATGTGCATTTAACTCGCCATTACATGCATTCCATCAAAACAAAAGCTTCCTTTCCAGCTGATGAACATGAACACCAGAAAGGCTCCCAAATTGTGACTTCTGATAACTTGATTCAACAATCCAACATCACAAGTAACTATGGCATGACGTTGTAGTCATTGAAATGACACCAGAGCTTCCAGGATAAAAAAAATCTCTCCAAACAGGATTCAAGTAATTGGTGGACAAACTGGTTCTTAAAAGGGAAGTGAAAAAAAAAAAAAAAAAAAGAGGGACAAGACGTTGATACCTTGACAGAGATGGTGCCAGCCAAAGCATCAAGATCCTCAAGCAACTTCCCAATTCGGACCTCATTCCAAGGATCCCTGTACTGCTCCCTGAGTATGTAATCACTAGAGAAATTGTACAGAATGCTGGTACGGCTCTGGTGAGGCGTCTTGGAGAGCAGCTCGCTCTGCGGAGGCGCGTCTTTGGGTGGGTCAAGCATTCTCTCGAAGACCTTGGACCTGGCCTCCCACAGAGCATTGGTGACGGGGGAATGATACATTCCGGGCCACAGCGCGATGGGCTTGCGCGCGGCTGCGGCGGCGTCGGCGCCATTGGAGGCCGCGGCCGGAGGAAGGGGAGGAGGGTTTTGGCTGTCAAAGGGATTGGCGAATGTGGAAACCACTGGGATGGTTTGAGGCGAGGAGTTGGGATCCATGGATTGTGGAGGTAGGATGATGACGATTGGAGGCTTGGTGCAGAAGAAATGGGGTATTCGGGGGAATGGCGGGCGATTTGGAGTTGTGAGGTGGGAGAGCTTTGGGGTTCTGGACAGAGCGGAAACCGACGAAATGGTGATGTAGGAGTAGATGCGTGATATTATCATTTTCTTGGAAAGAATCAAGACTGGTTGGTGGTTCATGTTAATTCTCCATTAATGCTGGAGGTGTGAAATAAAAAAAAAAATCTGTTCTTTCTTGTTCGTTGAATCGAAAAACTCTTCTCGAGAAGAATGTTTCATGAAATTTTTGGGAGCAAGTAGAAAGAATAGTATGATTTGTTGGTAATATACTTGGTTAGGAACTCTGAGTTTCTCTTTAACGATCGGGTACTTTTTTTTCCACTCCGTTTCATATGAAATCAGAATTGATGTGCTAGATGTTTCTAATTATTGAGGTTTTTTGTAATTTTTGTCACCGAGAAATTAGAGAATTATAATTTGAAACTTGAAAGTGTCTAGATGTGCTAGATACTATGAATTAATCAACAATTTCCTATATTTACAAAGAAAAAGATTTTTGATAAAAAATTATAAATATAAGACATCGTAATTATAAACAGAGAAAGAGGAAAATTTAAGAGTGACAACTAATAAGAGAAACGTAAAATTATCAAGCGAAAGTGTGAGAGTATCACTTTAACAATACCATCAAATCATAGAAAACAATATTCTTTTGAGAAAAAACTGCAAATGAAGGAGAGGTTGATGCAAATCTACAGTTACAAATATGAAAATTCAACGTATTAAATGTTAAATTTTAATAGGGTTACTGGTTCACAACACTTTTTTTTAGTGCTTGGAAAATAGGAAACTATATTTACTCCCTCTTTCGACGCTGGGAAACTATATTTATTCCAATTCCAAGAGGCTATTGTAAAATATTGCGATAATGTAAAGAAGACTTGGTTTAATGTGGTTGTTCCTCACCGGAGTGGTGAGGCTTAGGTAACGTTCACAAAGAAGATACTTATGTTATTTAACTGTATGACACAAAGCTGTATCTCTTCACTTTTATACCCTATATAACAATTATCTAGGGTTACATAAGCATTAAGAGAAGTCTCCTTGTTGGCATAGGAACCAATGTGAGCTGCGCATGTAGTAGGTGGGTGCATGGCAGTCTCGGCGATGCCATCTGGCCCAACGCGTCAACTCGGCCCAACACTCCCCCGCAAGTTGGCACATGAAGATTACGAATGTTCAGCTTGCAGATGAGGAAATGAAAACGAACAGCTCCATGACTTTTTGTAAGCAAATTCGCAAGCTGTAAATTAGTATGAACTTTGAGCGACAAGATGTGGTCGGACTAAACACGCCCTCTGACGAAATGACACACTGGGTTATTGGTAATGTGGATATCCGCCTGGTTATCACAATGGAGAGGAGTAGGGCCAGTTTGTGGAACACCCAGCTCATGGAGTAACTATCGTAACCAGAGGACTTCGGTGACTATAGTGGCCATTGCCCTATATTCGTCTTCTGCAGAGGATCCAGCGACCACCCTCTGTTTCTTGACACATGTTTTCTCCTTTGTTTCTTGATCGTTTAAGCTTGCATTATCGCTTCTTTGGCCTATTTTACGCTAGGTTGTGTTCATTTGTCACATTTTAGGTCCTAGCACATAAAGTGAAGCGTAGGCGCAAGTTTCAAGTCAATCGGAGATCATTTGGCGACTCAGGGGAAGAAACTCGGGTATGACTTGAAGAAGAATGGATTTCTACCTCAGCTTGTGACCATATAATCATGTAATCTTGTCATGATAAGAAAGAGGACGAGACTACGAGCGTCTGGGATCAAACGACACCTGATTTGGAGTCCAAACGAGGGAGAAACGAAGAATCAAAGATAGGGGAAAATTGGTTTCGGGCTTCTCTGAGAAACAGAAGGGGGCCCTATCGTGACGCAAAAATCCCCCGGGGATTTTCCCCTGTCCCCAACGGTGCGTTTTAAAGATACCCAGTCTCCACCTAAAATACCCGACCAGGTATTATGACCGGGAATCGCGTACGCAAGATGTTAAAAGCCTGTTTTGTACGTTTCTGGAGGGGAGAGCTGGGTTTTGGATCCCAAAACACCCAAGGGACAAACCAAAGAGAGAGAGAGAGAGGGCGATTTGAGGGCATTCTTGGAGTGGAACTGGAGGATTTCTTCGCCTTGGAAGCTCGAGGAATAAGCCGGACTTGAAGACTGATCATCTGAAGATTCTTACTGCAGTCTCTCTCTTCTCTATGGAGTAACTTTCCTTCACTTAGGTTTTGAGGAACCCTAGCTATGTTTGTTTGGTTGGATGATTGTATGAGTACTCTGACTTGATAACCTTGAGTTCATATTCAATCTATGCATGTTTTCATGATTCAGTTATGCTTTAGTCGAGATTATTGATTCTGCTTTGATCCTATGAGAGCGAATACCTGATTAGGTCAATAGAGCACCATAGATTGATAGTATTGGATCGATTGCTTTAGTCGAGGGTTGGTTCACTGCTTTGTATCGATTGAGAACCTCATTCGATAGAGGGAATCTAGTTCAGAACGCCTTCATCGGTTGTTCTAGAGAAGGATACGTCCCTCTAGGCAATTGACTCAAGAGGGCCTTGTTCCTTTAGTCGAGACTCAAGGTCTAGTCAAGGATTCTCCGCATTGTGAATGAGAGTGAAACAAGTTAGAAATCATCAATCGTTAATCTGGCTAGTGGCTAGGGGGAATCATACCTAAGTGAGTTCCCAACCTGTAATTAGATTAACTTTAACTGTAGTTTGCTAGAGTAGTTTTAGTTCTTTCATCTTAATCTGGTTTGCTAAATAATAAACTGAAGCTGAGTAATAGTAATTCTAGAGACCCGTGGATTCGATATTTATCACTTGAGCCACTATACTGCAGTCCCTTTCATTGGTTACACTTGGCCTTTGTTAGGAGTTGTGTCATAGCGAGTCAATTTTTTGGCGCCGTTGCCGGGGACTTTCTAGAGTATTAGGAAAGACAAAAGTTTGTTACTTTAGCATTTTTTTTTCTTTTCCACCCTTGCTTTTCACTTGGGTGTTTTTGTTTTTGTTGGTGCAGATCTGAATCGTGGATCCTCATGGCTTCTCCAACAATTGGGGGTATCCACCACCACCCGAGTGGTATTACCCCGAGACTCCCTGGAGCAATCAAGGAGGAGAAGACTATGGATTCGGGTTCCAGTACCAACCCCCTTACTACGGAGAACAACCGGACCCGTGGGCATATCAAGAACAACCTCATTACCAAGAAGAATTTCTCCCACTACCAGAAGGGCCATCGACGCTGGAGTCACCCATGGCGGCCTTCACGGGCCATTCTGCAGAGCCATGCTACACTCCACAGCCAAATCCAAACTATGAATTGAGGCTTCTCATGGAGCAGTTTGCTCGAGACTGTGGGAGATCATGCTCCAGGATGGATCATTGTGTCCAGGCCTATCGTGAAACAGAAGAGATCCTCCTGAGCCTTAAGAAGAGAGTCGATGATCTTGAGCGATCTTGTGCACAACCTGCTCCAGATCACCCTTCTGCTACCATACTAGAAGAGGAGGAGGAGAAAGAAGGCTACAAGGACATTGTGGAACACACAGAAGTTGTCACGGAGAGCTCCCGTGATGATCATGATCAGGAATGTCCTGTTGTAGCCGACCACCCCTTCCCACATCCCACACCGAGCTTTGAAGAGGCGGGCATGAGTGAGGAGATGCAAGAAGATCTCATGAAAGAAATTGCTTGGCAACTTGCTCTCCAATCCGTGCTAGAAGAAGAAGAGCAAGAAAGGGTGAAGAAAGAAGTTGTGGAGGATGACGAAAGTGAAGCAGAAGGAGTTCTTGATCATTTCCCAGGGGTGTTACCACATGAAGAAGAAAGGGAGGTTGAAGAAGCAATTGGCGTCCAGGCTGAGGACGAAGTTGAGGTGGAAGAGGCCTACACCGGCCATGAGTTACATGTGATATCTCAACCAAACTTCGAGGAACTGCTTAGCAAGGACCCATTTGCAGTGTCTCTTTGCCAGACCAAGGCCACATCGACATCGGTCCCTCTTGGTGGACACGATGGTGGTCAATCAATGTTGTCATATCTGGTTTGAGGGCAATGAGACGAGAGGAGAGAAGAAGAGGTCTCGGGGGTGGAGACTTCATCTGCATCAAGCGCATGAGCTTCCATCACCTGTCATACCACATGCTCGTGACTTGAGACTCCACCTCATTGACGAAAACCTCAACTTCAAGGAGGTTTTGGGGTGGACCGAAACTTAGGAGCCATCGTCTGGCTCACAACGTGAAAGAAGCGCTTGTTGGGAGGCAACCCAACCAGTCGGTTTGCATTTCTTTTTCTTTTTCTCCTCGGTTGAGTCAGTTTTGTTATTTGATTTTAGAGTCAATAACTCAACCTTTGTGAGATTTTGTTTGGTGTTTGTGGTTCGACTACTCTCTCCTCCTGGAATGCACCGCCTGCCTCGTCCAGCGTCATTCACCCTTGATCTGGTAACTTCGTTCTACCCTTCTTATCTTTCCTCCATTGAGGACAATGTCGTGCTTATGTGTGTGTGTGTGTGGGGGGGGGGTGTTCGATTATGTATGCGGGTGAATGTTTGGCTGTTTGTGTGCTTGGAGCTTAGTCCACTGTCCAAATTTTTAAATTTGAGGGCTCCAAGTACGTTTTTCCATGCAAATTGCCTGCTCAGTATGCTTTGAATTGACAGTCTCTATAGTAATGTGCAACCTAGGGAGGTAGTGTAGCACTATGGAGGATGTTGAAGTATAAGATTTTTCCTATCTAGCTCTCTGTTGTGTCGGTTGATTTTGTGAATTAGTGGAGCTAAGACCGTTGAATTCATGTGGTAATGGTGACTCTATTTGGATTGTGTTATGGACTCGTGTATCGAACAGGGTGCTCATGTGGAAAATGGAAAGCAGTTGGTCCTCCATGTCGAAATCATTGAAATCTTAAACATGGGGTAAGCCCAACGTGTGTGGCACCGTTCATTGCACAAAATCGGGTTTTGGAGGAGATTTTAGTGATCCTTAGTGGGGTACTCCTACAAGGTGAAGCTAAGCTGTCTCTAGTACAAGTAAAACTTCCACCCGTTGAACAGTTTGCCTACTTGAGGATGTGTTTTTAAGGGCACGGATAGAGCTTCCGACCCCCTTAATTTCATTGACCCTCCACACGAGTTGAGGTAAAGGAGTTAAAAGAAGTGCTCTGGCGAGCGCCAGGTGTACAGAAATTGCTCTTGCTCAACTAATAAGGGTCGATCGTGCAAAAGATTGCAGTTGGAACCC